TAATATTTAAAAATAGAACAATTTATTATTGGTTGAAAATGTTTACTGTGACGTAGCATTTTTTTAATCATTATTTATTCAAAATCAATTTTTTATCCTGTAAGGTGATTTTAATAGCTTAGCCCTCATATATACAATATATTTAATATATTCTTTTATAATAGGTAAAGATAATTGAATCTATTTATAATATATTAAATATTTAATTATTTTTTATAACTTTTATAATCTTTGCAAAAATTTTATTTAATAATTTTGTATATAGAATAATTATATAAAAACAGTTTGTAATTACATAATTAAATTTTATTTATAAATTAAAATAAAATAATATATAAATAATATAAATTATTAAATTAATTTTTAAATAATTAAGACTAAAAAATTAAATATTTTATTATTACTTAATTGATACAAATTAAGAAAAAAAATAAAATTATGATTAAAGCTCTAATGGTATAGATTAATCCAAAGATTTCAGTTCAAATTGACTTCAATTAGTTTTAGATTGTGTAAAAATCAATTAGATCAATTAGATTTTTTTCAAATTATAATTCTAATCTAATTAAAATAAATTTGAACTGAATTGAAATTTTAGATTAATCCAAATTTTTGATTGGTCATTCTAATTAAATGATAAAAACGTCATTCTATTGAAATATTCGAAATTATCATTTATCAAATAATAAAAAATATCAAGAATCAAACTTATCATTCTAATCAAATGATAAAGATACTATATAATCGAATTGAATCTGTAATTTTCAGTTCAAATCAGTATCTGAACAGTATACAGTTCAGTTCAGATTCAGATTGGCATTATAGAATTCATAAATCAAACTGAAATTTCAGTTCAAATTCAGAATCCAAATCAAATTGAACCATTAGGAGCATTAACTATAATAATAAAATTATTTAAAATTATTAGTTTATTCTTAAAATTTTAAAAAAAAGTTAAATTAATTTATAAGTTAAATAAGTTTAAGTTATCTAAAATCTTAAAGACTTAATACCGGATCGAAAATAATTACTGATAGCAGAATTTTCAAAGAATCAATAAATTATTAGTATCATAATTTTGTCTTTAAATATCTTCTTTTACCTGTGTAGGATGGGATTGTATTAGTTCATATATTTTATTGTAATGCCAATTCAGATATTTGTAATATGTTTATTAAGCCTGAACTTTCAGTAAAAAAAAGTTGATAGTGTTACAAGAGATCAGAATTTACGAATGGCGCATTAACTGCGTAAAATATTGAAAATATTAAAAATGTCGATAATGTCAAAAATGTCTTTTATATATTTATTATATCAATTATATGTGAAAATAATTATTATAGTTTTCGTTTTTTTATTTTATTATATATAATTATTATAATTGTTATTTTTTGATATATTCGTTATGTTTGATATATTTGTTATATTTATTTTAAATCAGGATTTAGAAATTTGTATATAAACCCGAAAATCCACTTTGTTCAAAGAATAAGATTTTTCCACGTTACACTTTCAAACTTTATCGTGTCTCCATATAGACCGACTAATGACCAACTACACAAAGAATCGTATAAAGTAAATAGTTGTATAAATCTTTCTTAGGACGGGCCTAAGATTTAATCGTTGTTTGGTTAACCTGGCTTCGGTTTAAAATCGGGTTAACAACGGATTAATTATTCATTGATCTGTTCCCACGATCTAACCCATATATTTGCATAAAATCTGACATGTAAATCTTGGCCCGGCTTTGTTGTTACAAAAATAGCATATCCTAGCCATTATTACCAGATCTAAAAGTAAAAGCACTGCGGAAATGTGACGTTTCAACAAATATTTTTTTGTTTTTCAACAATAATGGAAAAATTAAGAATTAAGAGATACAAAACTACCTTCCAATGATTAGCTTTGTTGCTTTAGTCAAAAAACGTTTTTTTCACAAATACAACTATGAGCGGGTTAATCTGTCATTGTGGTCAATCACAATTCTACGATTATATTAAATTTATTTTATTCGATTTTAATAACAAAATGAGGCTTTTACAAAAGAAGATTATGATGAATGTAACGAATGCTTGCATAAATGAGCGAAAACATTTTATCACAGACAAAGTATTGAATATATTACATATAAAACACTAAAACCGAACGATACATTAAGAAAAGAACAATAATTAAAATATAAACGAAAATAGTTAAAAAAAAAAATAAATAAAAATAAAGGCGTGATTTTAAAAAAAGTGGGCACAATTAATTAGTTGATTGAAAGTATACATCTTCCAAAGTACAATATATAGCTGTCCCAAGAAGTTCTCTATAATGACAATTCCAATATATTGAAATCCAAATACCAACTGCCCCATCTGCTGGTTGTTTGTCAGGATCATATGGCCAAACGCGTTTGAATGGAGCTGCTTCGTCAGCACCATCATGCTCACAATGATTAAACATTGGGTCCATTAAAAATCTATATTTTTTGCCTGAGCCATCATCAAAGGTATAGTGGCCGACTGCATGTGGAGGTTTATTATCAGGACAAGCAATCGTGAGTTCCATGTGGCATTTACAACCTTAGCGTCACATTCTATGAGAAAAGTATTTTTTTTTTTTTTTTTACACGGAGGTTACGAACAATAATAAATAAAGAATTGTTTGAAAATTACCACTATCGACACCATCATCGCTACATTTTATAAAAATACAATCAGGGTAAATAAAATATTAAAATATTTCTTATTCATGATTGTAATAAAATTGTTATGCGACTTATTTATATTTCTAGTCTGAAAAGCCTAGAATTAAAATGTTAAAAGCAGAATAATTCGAGTTTCTGTGGAAATAGTTCAAATTTCAGTTTATTGAAACTTTACGGAATGCTGATATATGGTAAATATTTTCAGTATTAACAACAATCTTCACATAACCAGTCAATGCGTACTGATATTTCCTTTGATTTAAAGTATAATCCTTATTTTTTTTTGAGACAATTTTAATTCTTACTGTATATTGATGAACTAAATTTATCATATTGTTTATAGGAAATGCTTCTGAAAAGTTTACCTTCAAATACCACCTGTAATAAAGATTGAAACATCTCTATGTATTTATTACAGAAATGACGCCATCAAAAAAAAAGCTGGTGATAAGAAGGGAAAAAAGGGATGTATTTTACGTTAATAAAAAATAGTTTCCATAGAATAAAATATAATTGTAGTCGTAAAATAGTACAATTAGTGCATAAAGTATCTGAAAATGTATTTAATTTATTTTATTTCGATTTTATTTTTCTTTTCCCTTAGGTTTTACGACTAGTAGTCGGTATGGAATTTAAAATTTTTTTTCATTTTTTTCAGGTAAATTGCTATCCACACAATAAAATATCTTTCTATTTGGTCAACCTTTCGACGACCATTTACAAATTTACGTTCACCGTATGATAATCAGCTATTTACCGGGAATCATCAATATTTCGAACCTTTAAGATTCTCGCTAGTAAATACAACCAGTCGTGAAATCACGATGGATTGACGCTGACAAGAAAAGATTTCTTAAGCAAGAGAGTAAGAATTATGAGCAGCATATTACAATCATAATTCCGTCACCATGAATCAGAAATACTTTATCATTTCATTTACTTTGTTTGTATTTTTTTCCCTTATGCATGTTGAAAAAACTTGCGGAGTCATGCATATGGTCATGAACATTGTGGTCCACATGACTGGCGTATGTTAATTTTCAAGTAATTTTTATTATTGCCATCCTATGAGTAAAAAATTAATACTTTTTTTGCTGAGATTAAAAATGTCAAAATGGGCATGCTTGAAATCATTATCCTCTAGGACACTATAGTTTTGATGATATCAATTTTTAGAGAAACCAATCTTTCTTAATGGCCAGCATTGGTCCTAACCATTTACATACACCAGCCTCCAAAAGGGGATAAAGTTGGTATTTTAGTATATAACCCAGGTTCCATTTTATCTTGTGTATCTCAAGAATTATACTATCAATCTACCGTCGACTACTGAGTTGCTAATTTTTTTGATAATTTTTTTAAAATCCTTAGCTTTTAAGCTTCGGATTTTTTTTTTAACATTTTGTAATTATTAAAAATGAACGCGAACTGAGACCTTTGGTCTTATATGTATACAATTTATGCATATTTCCTTGACTATTACTAGTATTAAATTCTTAAGAGAAATCTTTTAATATATGTATATAACTTGGTGTAACCCGCCGCGTTGCGTCGGGGGTGAAAGTTGCTATCAAATTAAGAAAGTAATAGTAATATATTTAAAGTATATTCTTAGGGTTAGATCGGTCCGGTCCGGGGTACCTTACATTCTAAGCCGCTCCAGGGGGGTCATTATACACGGGGTACTATAGAGTTCGCCTTATGGTAAGACAAGTTTTTTAAGAATACTTTTATAAGACGAAAAATTCAGTTTTCTTTGTGTAACTAGTGATGCTAATGGTCGGTCAAAGACCTTTAACCCATTTGACTGACCGACTTAAAATAAAAATTCAAAACATAATACTTCATGCTGCTACACGGATTATTTTTACTAATTGGATTTATTCGCCAAATTTTTTAATATTTAAAAAATAAATCATTTTATTAAAAAACATATAATTTCGAAATAAGTCCAATTTTTATTGATTTTATAAAAACTGATCTCATGAAATTTACGTCAAATACAAAAAAAAATTTTTTTATTTTCTGGCGGTTTGTATTGTTATAAAGCAAAGTTTATTTATTTTTTCCGAAAAAAAAGTTAATATGTATATATCATTTTTATGTACAAGGAGGTATAATACCAATAACAAGTATAATTAAATACTGATAATCAATAAAAATAACTTACCTTCTAATAA